GGAGTGCGAGGTCCCACCCAACGCTGCTTGCAGCTTTAATTATTATTATTATATCAATGTTTCAATGGAAAAATCTTGATTTGTGTACATGGAAGAGTTAAAAAATATTCACATTAAAGGTTTGAATTGAACTAGCGCCAAACTCCCTTTAAGAAATACTACATTTTAACGATTAGTTACATGTTCGTAATGACAAGTAACTCTAGACACACAAGCTAAAGGGAGTAATATGTTGACAGTCTTCTTGTCAATTCGGCAGCAATGAAAATCCATAAAGATAAATTGTATTCCGTACAAAGCTTACAATGTGGTCGCGCCGCGCTCTTTCAGTGGTAAAACAGCGTGGGAACGAGGCGGACCGTTTAAATAATGAAGATGTCTCACTAAAGTAAGTGCTGTCTGGTGGATCAGATAGACGCCGAATTGAAGACCGATTCATAACACTCTTAATTAACTGTCTATTATCCACGTGTGACTGTATTTTATGAGTTTAATCGAAAAAAACTTACCAAGTACAGATTTGTGTATTGTTTACACGTCGGATTACGCACACACAGATAAGATGCTTGCTCAAATCAACACAACCAAATATTTGGACGTAAAGTTGCCTGAAGTCAAGAAAGCAAACTTCAGTAACAGGTAAGTGTTTGTTCGGGAAACAGGTTTGACTGACAGAAAAACCAAACAGTGATATTATTGACTCACTAAAAGTAGTTAATACTACAAAATATTCAATTACAAGCTAAAAGTTCTGCATCCAAAATGTAGGTGAAGGCACAGAGTTATTGGCTCTCATTAACTCATTAACATGTAAACAGTAATGTTAGTGAGGTGGAGCTAATTTCAACTGCTTCCTGTGGCATGTTTAATCTGTAACATTGCAACACATTTTACAAACTGGTCATGTTTTGTGTGTAAAATCTAGTAAATCATGCAATATTCTGAAATAAATAAGTATAAATGTAAAGTATTATACAATTTAAATACTTGCAAACAGTACTTTAGATACTTTATGTGACAATATAATTGAGAAATCTGAGGACTTTTGGTGCTTTCATGAAATATTTATTTGAACACTTAGTGATTTGTGCGTATATGATGGTCCGGCTAAAGAAGTGAATCAAATAGAACGACTTAACTGCAGCCCTTTGGATAATAAAAAGACAGTTTTATTCTGACCATAACCCGGATATGTACAGTATGTGCTCTATGTTCACAAACTTGAATCCCTGTTAAAATAATTAAGTCTGAACTATGTTGTATGTATCAAATTTATTCTCAAATACACAAACAAAAGGTGGCAAAACAAGGTGATGAAATCAAACAATGTGACACTGTCAATGTCATTCTTTTTGAAATGTTGAATCTTCATTTAGCACCTTAATAGTTCGGTTATACATGATTTATATAGTCACTCATACAAAAAATGAAATGGGTGAATAATGCGAGTCAGTAACATAAAAATAAGCATGAGGAGCTGGGCGTTGGGATCGCAGTTACTTAAGATATGTAATCAAAAAGTACCGCTTTCAGCATCTCGTCTTTTTTACCTATTAGTACCGTTAAGCCTCTACAGTCCCATACTGAGAACTCCTCGCAATAAGAGTTATTCAACGACTAGGCCTAGACAGTGATTACTAAACACACGTTCACCTGACATTTTTTGGACCTATTTTCTTTTCACATTAGAGCTTGCTGTTCTGTATTGTTGCATTTACATTAGGAGTAGTAGATATATACAGAGAAGTTCATTGTCAAACAATGCTGGAACAATAGGAGTTGTTTTATGTACCTGGAGTGTGAAAATGTCTCTAAAAAAACAAAATAAAAAATGCAAAGAGTAAGGCACTCGATATACTCCTGTGCTGCCGATGAATCTGGCATGATGATCCAGATATGTATACAGGATTGTATCCTTTTCAAGTACACAGTGTACCTGGCACCCTCTAGTGTTAAACTGTGGTCTGTGCGCTTCCTGGATGGACAGCTCTGACAAGAGTGGCTGGTTTGGGAAGGTGCTTCCCTTCCGAAAATATTATATATATATATTGACTAAAACCAGAGTGCTGAGCAGCTCTGATAGGCACTCAAAATACTGTACTGACAGTTTGCTTTTTGAGACAAACACTACGGAGATAAGAAAGTAGAACTGATCTTTCCAGATTTAGGTTTGGAAAACAGAATGTGATGCGCAGCGGATTTGAATGAGAGAAACTAGACTTTGTAGACAGTCAGAACATATCCCACATTACCTGTGTTTTAATTTTGTCTTATTTTCTTTGTCAATGTTAAACCCTGTTCTCACCAAATTTGCAACAAGTGCCCTCATTCCAATAGGCCCTTGTGAGCTCCAAAAGCTACCACCAGATCCTCGTCAAAACAAGTGGGGACCGTACACTAACTTCACATGAATGGTCACTCAACACCCAGACGGGAAAACTACATGACATCCACAAAGAACTCGCTGGGGTTCCCCATGGCCAGGTGGAACGACTGACGCGACGCAGTCAGCTCTGGGGGTACGGAGCCCAGGTCACGGGTGGGCG